TAGCTTTTTTGGTGCTAAATTAACTTTATAACACTTGGTTATAACAAACATTAATTTTTACAGCAATTACTAAAATAACGACTCATAATGTATTCATTTACCATATTCAGAAAACAACTGAAAAAACCAAACACACAGCAGAATTTTATAGGACTGTAGTAGTTTTTGTTAGGCTGTCAAATTATTTTAAGCTCAAAATTAAAGTAATTAAATCTGTGACTCTCAACTGGGGGAGGTGGGCACACACAGAGGGGGGAAGGTAAAATCCTTTTTTTCTTCCAAACCTCACTCAGACCCACTCAGCTGGTCATTTCCATTGCTGGAATTATGTCCTGCTCCTTAGGTTAAGAACAACTGCCTTCATGCCTATTAAAAATAATGTTTCTTCCTTTCCTGAGTGATTATGAAATGAGCCATGGTGGCAAGGTAGGCACGAACAGAGGGAAACTGAGTCCATGTCCACATTTGATGGTGGGCGAGAACAGAAGGAAATTGGGTCCACATCCACATTTGATGGTGGGTGAGAACAGAAGTAACTAGGTCCACATCTCTATTTGATGTGGGCAAGAACAGAGGGAAACTGAATCCAAGTGTCCACATTTGATGGTGGGCAAGAACAGAGGGAAAGTGCGTCCAAGTCCACATTTGATGGTTAGCCAGAACAGGAGGAAGCTGGATCCACGTCCACATTTGATGATGGGCGAGACCAGGGGGAAACTGAGTCCACCTCCACATTTGATGGTGGGAGAGAACAGGGGAAAACTCGGTCCACGTCCCATGTTTGATGGTGGCTTTTAATGCACTGCAGCCTGTGTCCCCTTGACCTTCACGAATTGTCAGGTAGTAAGAAAGCAATTTTCTTATTGGAAAGGAGAAAACTAAGTGGCTGCAAAATAATATCATTTCCTTAAAGCAAAACAACAGAGAACCAACTTTGACTTTTCCACATTACCCAGTAACTCTAAGACTCAGAGTTTTGTCATGTTACAGCAAATGCTGTTCATTAGGGGGAAATTGGAAGTCAGAACAGTGTGTGCTATTCAAATTCTCAATGAATAATAACTCAAATGGGTTCAGAGTGCTATAAAAATGAAATTAATTTGTTTTTAGTTTAACCCCAAATCCCCAATCCTTTGCCAAATGATCCTCTATGTATCCTGCATAAAGGACAGGGTCTTTCTGGCAGAAAAACCATTAAAAGTTTTATTTGCAGTAAGAGAAGCATGCCTTCTTATTATCAAACAGGTGCACGGCCCCCTTGCGGGGGGGGTCACCTATCACCCGCATCCCCGTGTGTCACGGTGTTGCCACACACCATTAACGCATCAAAACGGAAAAGGAAATGTAAGCAGTGTTTGCGTCCAAAGTTCACGTCAACAACTCCTTATTATGAAGGCACTTCTGAGCCTTTCCTCCTGCATCTGGGAGCTACCAGCAACCCAGTTCCAGGAGAGAAAATAGCTCGACACCTCCTGCAGCCCGTGGAGTCCTCTTGTTGGGACAAGGTCCCCCCAGGAGAGAGGAACCCCCAGCAGGTTCAACACTGGAGGTCCTGGGAGTGGGTGGTGCTGGGGAGGCCATGCGGGGAGGGCTGTTCCCTGTTCCCTTCCCCTCAGGAGACAGTTTGCCCAAGGTGACACAGCACCGGATGGGATTTCAGGGTCAGGGACCACGGACCCCGGAGCTGTGGACCACACCAGCCCAAAGCCACTGCATGCCCCACACCGGGGCTGTGGATCACACCAGCCCACGGCCACTGCATGCCCCAGACCAACACGAGAAGAGTGCAGACCAACAACATCTTCGTCTACGGTAGGTGCCATCGTTATCGTTCCTAAGAGAGCCCATGGCCACTTCTACCAGGTGCCCTCCACTCTTCCCCTGCCCCAGCTGGTCCCCCTGTGACAGCCGTGTCTCTGAGAACGGGGTGTGGAGCCAGGGGGAAAACACAAAATAAACCACCTGCTACTAGAAACAGCCTCGCTGTCCTCAGGGAGCCGGTCCCGGGGCCAGCCTCGCTGTCCTCAAGGAGTCGATCCCGGGGCCAACCTCGCTGGACTCAGAAAGTCGGTTCCAGGACCCCATGGACACCAAATCCAGGCACATTCAAACCGCACAGGTGGACCTGCTGAACCTGCGTGTACAAAGACTCGGCCCTCCGACAAGCGTTTCACATGGCAGGAACACTGTATTTTCTGCGTGTACAAAGAATCAGCCCTCCGACATGAGTTTCACGTAGCAGAACACTGTATTTTCTCCCTGAGTTTGGTTGAAAAAATCCACCTATAAGTTGACCCGCAAAGCTCAAGCTTGTGTTGGACAAGAGTCAACTGTATGCAATTGACACTGATTCCTACCAACAATATCCAGATCTTACCATGACCAGCATGATAAACAGAATGAGCAAAATTTAAAAACTAAAGCAGAGTTTTTTCCTGCGAGTTGGTGCACTGCGTATCCCCTGTGGGAAAGACCACACTGGCTGCTGACCAAACTCCACCGGCCTCTTCCTCCGTCCTGAGGGCATCTTCCTCCATCCTGACAGCAGCCTGGGCTCACCTCAGTCCCAGGGCAGGGGAGGGGGACGCACTGTGCACCCTCCCAGCTCTCCTCCGCCCCTTCCCTCACGCTGGCCCAAGAGCAGCCTGGACACTCACTTGCTGGGGACACCAAGTTGCCCCTCCTCCGCCCACAGCCTCAGGCCACCTGTCTCATCTGTGACTGAGAAATAGAGCTGCAGCTGGAGGCGGGAGGCGGGACACGCTGGGATCTACCCATGGCCAGGCCGAGCTGCTCGGATCACTCAAACTTCACTTTCCTCACTCGCTCTACCAAATAGACTAGAATAAAATATGTCGCATCCTCCTTTCCACACACTCCCAAGCCTCCCATCCCACTTCCCGCGCTGACCCCTTAAGAACACTTTGTGCATCTTTCCAGGTATTTTCTATCCTCCTCATGCACAGAACCACATTCAGAGTGAATTTTTCTTTTCTTTTTTTAACAGAAATGGCACCAGGGCAGATGATGATTTTTTTGTACCATTTCTTTACTTTCTTGGGCATTTTCCGCACCAGGACAGATGGGCTCTGCTCTCCTTCCTCCCCGCCCAAAGCTGCCTCACAGCAGCCACACACAGAGCCGTAAACCCTCGCAAGACTGTGGGTGTCTTGTGGTGCCCCACGTCCCCAAAGACCAAGGGTCACAGATCCACATTGTCCAACAACACTTCAGACATGGCCTCGAGCCTGGGAACCCTGCTGGCCAGCCCAGGCCAGCCCCAGAATAGAGGTGTGAGGGGTGACATCTGCACCTCTTAAAAAAAAAAAGGGGGCAGATATTCAGTGCCACATTTAAAATGGTCATGGCGGCCAGGCACAGTGGCTCATGGGTGCAATGCCAGCACTTTGGGAGGCCAAGGTTGGCAGATCACTTGAGGTCAGGAGTTCAAGACCAGCCTGGCCAACACGGTGAGACCCCTGTCTCTACTAAAAATACAAAAATTAGCTGGGCATGGTGGCAGGCACTTGTAATCCCAGCTACTCGGGAGGCTGAGACACAAGATTCTCTTGAACCCTGGAAGCAGAGGTTACAGTGAGCTGAGATTATGCCACTGCAATCCAGCCTGGGTGACAGAGCAAGACTCTGTCTCAAAAATAAAAATAATAAATAATAACAAAAGAAAAATATATATATGCATTCCTAGTCCCTTGGAGCTGCAGCAACAAAGCTGGTGATATATTTTGGGTGTTTCTAATCAATGTTTTCCATGAGCTACACTGCAAGTCTCAACCTTGACCCTGCTACAGTAATCATCTATTACAAATTAAAACAAGAGCCATAACTCTGTCTCCTACGAAAATATTCTAATTGAGGCATGTTAACAGAATACATTTCTTTAGGTGAGAAAGTATCCACCAGGGTGGGGAACAGACGGCCCACCGATTGTGCTGTGGCCCTGACCAGCAAGGACTCACGAATCGTCCACAGCAAGGGTGGCAACTCAAAAAGAACACTAAATTGCTCTTTGACATTAATTCTTAAACCTTGAGAAACCAAAGTTCTCTTTGTAACAGACTTGAAAAAGGATGAAGTCAGAAGTAGCTCAGCAGAGATGCACCAACTCTTACCTGGGAGAGACACCCCTTGCTAATCACATCTGGATTAACGGATGTGCTAAGAGCATCTCTTCCAACAGGGACACAGACTGCAAACAGGAATGCTGTGAACACCTTCCCCAGATAACCCAGTCCTGACCCATCCACCCCTCAGGAGGTCCCCAGACAAGTCCAATAAGGAAATGACCCCACAGCAGATTCAGGTGCAGGCAGTGAGGATAGTGGCATCAGGGAATTCCACCGTAAACCTTGGCAGCACGCAGGGAGGTGTACCCAGCTGGACAGGTGAAGTCAAAAGTGCAGGATGATCTGGCCATTCCAAATATGCAGGGCATTCCAATTTTGTTAAAATGAAACCAAGCCTTTGAAAAGGCCGGGACTTCCCACAATGTATGGTATTCATAGTGTGGAGGGCACTGTAGAGAAGTTATCAGAGGGTTCATGACGGCAAGATCCACGGAGGCTCTGCCATGTGCCAGGTATGAGACAACTATTTACATAAAACACCTCATTTCACCCTACACAGAGTCCACAGACTGCTCCACAGTCTCCCAGTTAAGAGTTGGTGCATCTCTGCTGAGCTACTTCTAACTTCATCCTTTCTCAACTGCTTCATGTTTCACCCTACACAGAGTCCACAGACTGCCCCACATTTCACCCTACACAGAGTCCACAGATTGCTCCACATTTCACTCACAGAGTCCACAGACTTCTTCACATTTCACCCTACACAGAGTCCACAGACTGCTTCACATTTCACCCTACACAGAGTCCACAGACTGCTTCACATTTCACCCTACACAGAGTCCACAGACTGCCCCACATTTCACCCCACACAGAGTACAGAGACTGCTTCACAGAATACTACCAAAGGGGAGCATCAAATGATCCCCAAGAATTAATGAGCGCCTTAAAAGTAAGAAAGCCAACCTCCTCCCCCTCTCTTAATTCCCTCTCCTCATTTCCGCAGAACCAAGGAAATATGAAGGGCCAGTGACGCCCCACTGAAGAACGCTCTCCTGGTGGTTACGCTCTGTACATATGGAGCACAACACTGCTCCGTGCTGCGCGAGGCTACTATTCTATACTACACTAGTACAATCTGTTTGTTCTATTCTATACTATTCCATTCTCTACGATAGAATACTACAGCTTCATTCTATACTATAAAATACTGTACTATCTGTTCTATTCTATTCTATTTTCTTCTATACAGAAAGGAGTTAGCCAGCTTGCTTTAGGCAGATAGTAACGGAAGGGTCCCAGAGAGCCTCCAGCCCATGTTTTGTGCAGATATGGGGACTTGCACGGGGGTCTCGCCTAAACATGCTCACAGCAGACTAAGGGTCCCCATGCACACGGGGGAATGGGGTGGAGCCACCAGAAATTTGCTCCTTAGACAGCGAGACCAGCCCCATCAGCTTCTATATAAAAGCCCTTGTAGTCAACTGGGAAGGGGGCGACCAGCAACCTGCTCTCAGGACCCCTCTTTTCGCTGAGAGCTTAACTTTTAGCTTAATAAGTTCCACTGCACTCACTCTTCGATGTCCACGTGCCTGTTTCTTCCTGGTCATGAGACAAGAACCTGGACTCAGCTGAGCTAAAGAGCAAAACTCCTGCATCAGTGCTACAGAGCACTATCCTCTCTGTTCTGTGCCATGCGACTCTACTATTCCACACCATACTATGTAATATTAATACTATGCTGTGTGTTCTAATCTAGACTGTATTATGCTTGCAATACTACGTCATTAGTTCAACTGTATACTCTACAATACTATCCCACTTGTTCTATTCTAGACCATGTAATACTATTTGTCCTATTGTATACTATACTACATAATGTTACACTGTTTCTTCTATTCTATGCTACCCTATATAACATTATACTATTTGTTCTATTCTGCACTACTCTATATAATTCTATTCTGTTTGTTCCATTCTATACAATACAATATCTTACATCATTTTACCATGTTCCACGATACAAGAGTAGAGTCAGTATTACTTTCATAATCTCTTTTCCAAGCTCTTACCCAGTAAGAAATGTGATGTTTTACTATGCCTCACATAAATGCACATTTCATGATAATCAATGCCATTTCCTATGGTTATAGAATTCTGTCTCTATGATTCTATTGATACGGCTTCTTTGGGCTTTTCTGTAAGTCCTTTGCAGTGTCTGGTTTCCTAGTGAAAAGATGACTAAGATCCCGATAAGATCCTATAAAACCAGCATTCACACACGCTCACCTGTGTGCACTCTGCTGGACTCCGTGTTGAAGGAGTGACAGGAAGACAGACGGCTATTGGTGGATGGAAGGTAACAAGCACAGAGTAGAGTCCAGAACTGAGACAGGTACCAAGGCTCTGGCACAGTTGAGGGTCGATCCCAATTCTAGCCTCTCACAGAAAGGCAGAGGAGACTTAGCACAAAGAGCATGGAACTTCGCTTTAATAAAGCAAATGCTTACCATCCACTATGAGGAAGTCAAGGAGAAATGGCAGTAGGCTCTACTAATAACTACTGCTTTAAAAAATGGAAGGGAGAGGGTACATTTTCACATGGGCCATGTGGAAAGTTGGCTGGACCTGCCGCTGGACCTGACACTGGACCTGCCGCTGGACCTGCCCCTGGACCTGACGCTGGACCTGCCGCTGGACCTGATGCTGGACCTGACGCTGGACCTGATGCTGGACCTGCCCCTGGACCTGCCACTCGGTCTGCTACTGGACTGCTAACAAATGCTGCAGATTTTTATGGAGAGAAAAGTACAATGCGTCTGAGAGCAGCTGTCCCAGCTCTGGATGAAGCCGGCAGAACAAGGAAGAACAAGGATACCAGAGGCTGGTATCATTCAGTGGGCAGAGTCAATGACCCTCCTCTAAGTCCAGCAAAGCTCAGCCTGCATGTCTGCAACTAGAAATACAATTCATAAGCCAGACCTCCTGGCAAATACCATTGACCCGCTGTAATTTTGTGTGGTGTATTATGTCCCATGTACAGGAAATCATTCACAAACCCTTTGACCAGGAAGTACTAACATGACTTTTAATGCAGTATAACACCTTTGCACCCATTTAACATATATTTAACCCCAGGGGTATAAATATATATTTTATAGAACATCAGGCATGTTTACCTAATGGCTCGAACTTTCACAACGTCTCTCTCCCTGAGAGGACAGCGGAGGATCCCATGCACTGTCTCCAGGAACATGCCCCTCCCAGAGAGGACTCACAAATCAAATGTGCACATGCACGCATGCACAGACACATATCTCACACACACATACACATGCACCGCACACCTACATGCAATACATACATTCACACATGCACACACATTCACATAATCACATAATACCAACACATAACACATGCATACACATACACACAACACTCAAACAAACACACAAGCATACGCACAACACTCAAACAAACACGCACAAGCATACGCACAACACTCAAACACATGTGCATATACATACAAATTCTGACACACATACATATGTAAATACGTAGGCATAACATGCACAAATATACATGTATAACTATACACACACGAGCATCCATGCATGCCTACTTGCACATATGTGCAGTCGTGCCTAAACATGTAACACATGCACACACATACATGCAACACAAATACACATGCACACATATACACATGCATGCACATGTACATTACACACAAAGGCACACATACATGCACAACACATATACATGCAATACACACTTTCATACACATAAATGCA